GTGTTTCATCAACTTGGGATTTATTCTAACCTTAGTTAGGATTAGAGCATGTGCGTTTTGCGAGTGGACAAGCTAGGCTCGGAGCTTGCGTTGTCTTTCTTAGATGGATCCCGTGTGGAGCCTAATTGCTGACGCAGAATCAGTTGATGCCACAGCAGTGGTTTAAAGAATTCCTTGTTCTTTCAGTCACTCGCTTAGTTTTTCTAAAGGCCTGCCGTGTCAGTGTCTTTTATGGCCACTGTTACCCAGACTTCCATGGGCTCGTGAATGTCAATACATTTTCTTCGTTTTTGTAAGGAATCAGTCCACCTAGAGCCACCGAATAAGCTGTGCTTCAGGGTAACGACACTCCAGCCATGGCTGGATGGATGCTAACAGCTGTACCCTTTATACCGGCGGTATAACCAAATGATTATTCCTTCTCTCGACCCTTTAAAGCCAATTTTTCTTCCCTTCAACCTTCTTGAGTGCTTATAATTTTGTTGCTTATAATCACTGTTGCCAGTTATCCGAACCTATATCTGAAATAGCTGGAAACGCTCTTTCCTCTTTCAGAAATCTAAAAACAGTCTGAGACAGAGCAAATCGATGTCGCCTAAGCGCTGTAGCTTTTGTGTTTTTTTGGCACCTCAAAAATAAACCGCATATTGCTAAATGCTCAGTCTCTGTTAAGATGTGGTGGCAGCGGTTGGAATGAAATGCTGAAGCTTAACACCTACGATTAAGAGAGTCAAACATTAAAAGCAAAAACTCTACCACTACAGCTGCATCTGCACTGCACTGGACCTTGGAACGTGGTTCTGTTCGTGACACAAAACTAAAGTGGCGTGGGCTAGCCCCGGTGGCGCGTGGAAAAGATCTTTCGAATTCGGTAGTGGATGTGTGTTCCGGAAAGCCATTTCTGGTTAGGTTTGCTGGGCACTCAACAAAAAGCCCCACCTACAGAGCTAACCGGGTGCCGTCAGTGAAAGTTGTTGCTAAAGTATTGTACACAACTACCATTCACGAAGGCCGTTCACGAAACAGTTAATTGAAATTACCTGAAGCAGACCCGAAACACTGATCTGTCTATACTTTTGCAGAGAGTCGTCTTTCGTTGTTGAGCCACTGCTTTTATTGGGGCCTGTTTACCGGAGCGGCAACTCTCTTCCTCTCAGTCACCGATGCATCCAGTACTTCTTGTCTGCATTCTGTAGCTCTCCTTCCGACGGAAGTTGATGTCGCAAACCATTTGCATCATCCTGTGCCTTGGCCAGATCAACCGTAGCCACACCACCTACTTCTGTCACCTTGTTATAGTGTACTTTGTTTCGTGAGGTATATTTTCTCGAGGTTCCCCCGAAAGCACTGAAGGTACACTGACAAAGAAGCCCATTTCCGCAGCGGCGTTGCGGCGAGACAAAGCATTAATCCTGAAAAGCTGCGGTAACTCTTCATAATCATGTGAACATTTTTTTTTTTTTTAATGCAAAGCATTTACGGAATTTAGAGCTGTAAAGTTAAGCTTTGTTGTTTTTTTTTTGTTTTTTTTTTATGGTTATTAAAGTTTTTTTTTTTCTTTTCTAGCCCTACAAGTGTACCTTGTGATTCCGAGAACGTGTAAATTTTGAAAGTCGGATAACTTTTTCCACTTTTTTTTTAACGTACCTTACTACAATGTGTCTTTCTTTTGTATCGCCACCTGCCGAGCCAGGTCCACAAGCCCTTGAGGCTTTCACCGGCTCGCTATTGTACTTTCAAAAATGTATTTTTTTTTTTCAAATAAAACTATGTTCTATGTTCTATCTCTATGTATTACGCTTTGCCAGCAGTTTTCTTAGATTTGTCTCCTTTTGGGATGATTGGGAAATTCAATAAAAATTTTGTCATGGCTGTTGTCTTTCCTGCTTGATCCACAGAGCCATTCAGTATTGCGGTTCGTGGTTGGTAGGTGGTGGTGTTCGTTTGGCGCATTCCAAACTTGCATCCGACCATAACTCTGCAGTCCTTTCTGCCGAAAAGATTGCGTGGCTAGAAGACGTACGCATCAGCTTCCTTTTTTTGTCTTTCTGTGAGCGTCTTTCTCCGTTGTCCTAATTTTCTTTGCGCCATCGTTGCCTGCGGTGAATCAGGAACTCGCTCTAGCCTCCATCTTTACAAGCACATCAGTGGGTTGTTTCCGTCGTCAAAAGAGGCCCAAACGATCCAGCGTGTTCCCAGGCAGGGCCTCCTTCGTGCAAGGATGCTGCGGGCACGTCTTGAAGCGCCTTGAGCATCGGCAGTTCTGTTTCCAAACACAGATAGGGAGCCGTGCCTCCACACTAATCTGAAAAAGATTAGCTCGAGTGGCTTGCAACATATCGTGTGCCCCTCGATGCCTGCCCTCGCGGTTCCTGGTTCTTTGAAGTTGGTTCTGCAGGTAGGCTGCCTCTAACCGCCTCACTCGCCAGTCTGTCGTATTCGCATCTGTTTATCAGCCTATGCAAATAGGCGAGTACAGAACGACTCGGCACACACATTTATTTTTTTACACGATACTGCGAACGAGTAACATGGCCTGAGCACGAGTGGCTACTGTGAATCTTAAGTTGTAAAATGAGCCGGAAAAATCGGTGCCTGCACATAGAAAGCTGAAACTTTCATTGAATGTGCATTGAGGTGATGCATTTTATTTGACGAAATTTCAAGGAATAGCTTTGTTCCTGTGAAAGGCGAAAGTAACAAACCTGCAATGGTCGACGGTGGAGGGGTTCACAGACGATTGTGTTAGCATTTTTTGTAACGTGTGGCACCATTTCCCAATAGACACGGCAAGTAGACGACGGAGAGCGTCTAGCCAAACTAACTATATTACTTGAATACCTGGTCTTTACTCTTCCCGGCATGCTGTTAATATTCCTAAATACAAAGTGGCTATGGAGAAAACGGACAAATGAAGCTGATGCTAAAACCAACATTCAAGTTTCTCTTTGTTTTCCAGAGGGGTGACGTCAAATGTTGTAAAACTCGCAGGCCGAGTGGGCGGTCTAAGCAAATGCAGTATGCATTCTAAGGCCGCCTGCTTGACCTGCAAGTTTCACAATGCTTGATTTCACAAGATGTTCTGCCAGAGTGAGCTTTTCCAGACACCATCGAGCTTCTTCTAATCTGTCCGGAACATATCGTACTGGCAAACATACAACTATCGTCACTTTTTCGGTGTTGCAAGTATCCCTCCAGTTTTTGAGAGCAATGTGGGCCAGCACCTACAAATTCAATATTTCCTTCAAAAAATATTCGTTTGACCTATTATTTCGATTACTGGCTCAGCTGTGTCTATCAATGTGTTGAAGCAATTTTTAGGCTAATCAACGTCCGTCAAAATTTTGCCGGTCGCCAATTAAAAGATTTGTTTTGTACAGGTGGGTTTCTGCTAAGAGATTTAAGAGCACCTGTCTGACTTCTGTCGAGCGAGCGTTGGACAGGGTGTGTACTAACCTGGGAAACCTGAAATTGTCGGGGATTTCAAAGCATAGAAGGGAAATTGTCAAAAAGTTGGCTAAATCGGGGGAAAAGGACTAGTGAAGGTGGCACAGTGATGCGTAACGAAGGACGCGGCACGTGGTGCCGTGGGTGTAAATGTTTCGACGTTATGACATTGCAATGACTTGCCTGAATTTTCCCTAGGTCGGACTTCACTCTGATTAACCTGACTACATACAGTCAGTGACAGGCTAAGAGTTCAGGGAAAACTCTTCCCACCCCTTCCCACTTTAGCAGAACAAATGCTGGAGAGGAGGTCAGCTTCTTTCCAGCGTTCGTTCCGCTAAAGTGGCAAGGAGTGAAAGGAGTTTCCCCTGAACTCTTAGTCTGTCAGAATCTATAGATGGGAACAGCTGCTGTGATTCTATCCTTTGACAAGTACAAGACAAAGGCCCATTCATCGGAGGTTGGTTCGTTGGACCTACACCGGCAACTTTTGAGCCGTGGTCACACCGCTAACACGTCATACAAAAGGAAGTCTGCAGATGCTGTCTGGAGCTCTGTGCCTTCCTTGCATCATGGTCATGTTACATTGGTCATGCAAAAGCTGTTTGCAGTCATGTTTGAGGCATGTATGAAGCAAGCATGCTTCGAACATGCTTGAGGCAAGTCAGCATATAATTCAGTCATGTCTGGAGCGAACACCGCATCTTTTGTACGGTGTACGAGCAGCGTGACTGCGTCTTTGGACTATTCGTGCATACTTGTTGTCGTTTTCTGCAGTTTTATTTCCAAACTTAAGAGTGGCAATACCACTGTCAAAGAAGGGCTTCCTTAATCTAAGCTGGACAAACCCGATCTCCAGGTTCTCCTTTTTTCGTAATGCTTACGGACTTTATAATCGAAATAATTGGAGAAACCGTGTAAGTTGGGGAACATAGAAGAAGTTACCATGTTTTCCGGCTTACAGTCTGCAGACTTTACACGTTTAAATGTCTAAATTTTACATTGTGTGGACTGTTTACAGGCGCAAACAATACACAGATATTTGTTTTCCTAGATCAGTCATTATGACGAGACATGGCAGATTTAATGAATGACAGATTGTTTATGATAATTTATGTATCATACATGCTTCTTTGCAAGCTAGTACAGCTGGCACTTGTCAAGGTGCGCTTTGTATGAGAACGTTTACATGCTGACGAGGCACGAGGTGCGAGCTATGCATTAGGGCAGACATATACGGATTTTGTGATTTGTGTTCAATCAATTCTTGTTTGTGGTTTTGGTAGTTCTGTGTGATTTGAGTGATTATCAGTTGATTTGTGTTTTTACTTTGATTGATTTGGTTGAGCACTGATTGTTTTATGTTCTCGCTCTGGCAATTCTACGGCTATTTTTAGGTCCTATTTTTCTTGAAATGTGTCTCTTTCCCTCGTGTAATGTCCTTCTTGAGTGGACCTTTAAGGTATTTCATTAAATGAATAAATTGCGCGGAAAATATGGTGTTTGGTAGACTACATCCTGATTGAAGCACTCAACACATTATTTTGCCACAGTGCCTTCCCGTGGGGGCCCTGGTGGCGGCTCTGCCTGCCGAGGGGACCCTTGCAGAGGCCCTCGCCCGCTTGTGCCCCCTGCTGCTGTTCCAGTTGCACCACCAGGACTGCTCCTTCACCCCTCCGCAGGTCAGAGGGCGGACGCGCCCCACCACTGGACAGGGTGAGTGTGACGCCCTTTTGTTGGGGAGCACTGCTATGGTGTATGCGACGTGCTTCTGACTGCTGCGTTTATTGCGTCCTCAATAGTGGTTCCTCTAGCTTCGCACGAGGGCGTCGAAAGCGTTTGACTGTCTCCTGTTTATCGATACCACCGATAGTGCATGTTTAGTACGTTCAGAACATTCTCGCAAACCTCGGGCAAAAATAGGACCATTTGCTAAAAGGGCGTTCTACGAAACAACTATATTTTACGGAAACGACTCTATGATGCGACAAAATTATTGCCATTCACTGAAAAATTGTTCAAAGGAATGGCATTATGTTAAATAACATAGGAGGCCATGTATATGCCTTTGTATACGGTATATTGAAGTTGTAATACAGTTTGTTTCGGCCTAAGTCCAGTCTCGGCCAGTGCTACAAGAAAATGGAACCGATCAAGCAGTGTCAAAATTGCAAGAGACAAGTTAAAGAATTTATAACTTCGCTGGGCATAGATGCCATTATTTAGGGGCTACTCTGCTGAATACAAAAATTATTAGAACAGTGCATCGTTCTGAAGTGACGCCATTTTCACAGTTTAAACGAGTCAACTTACGACAGGAGCCTCCACTCTTAAGTGTTCTCACAGTGGTGCAACTTTAAAATATTCTGCCCATGTATTACACAAATGCCGAGGCTTCAGATAATCAGGTCAGGATCGTTGTCCACATTTTGAATGTGTCTAAATACTAATCCCACTGTTGGAAAAAACGTTTTGGAAAGAACAAAGTGCAGGCCATGCACCAAGTGCAGAGTTGTTTGGGAAGAACTTTTGGAACATCGGAAGTTTAGCCTCATGTTGCAATACAAGAAATTTCGTCCAAATTGCGAGCAAAGAGCAGACTTTTTGTGTAAGGCTCATCAAAATATTAGGCGCTGGTGAAAATCTTCCGTTTTGCATTAAAGGCGGACAACAAGACTTAATATTCTGCAAGGTTTTCCTTCTCACGTCTTCGAGCGATAGAAGCAAAGGATGGAAAGAAGGGTCTAAGAGAGTTGGGCATGAGTCTGCGTGCACCGCTCGGATGGTGGTGTGGTTCATTGTGTGAGCACGTGAATGGAGGTAAGCCTGCAAAAAGTGTGCCCTCTCAATCGACACGTCACAATCTGTGCACCCGCCGGAGGATTAGCGAAGGAACGTTCCAGGACCAGGAAACGAGAACCGAGTTTGTTTTTTCCACTGCGCGGTACGTATTCGCGGTGTGCTTCCTTGATCACGGCAATTTTAATAAATGTGAATTTCCATTTTTTCAAAATAACTGCTGCACCCGTTGAAAGCCTGGATCAGAATGCATCGCTATGAAAATCTAAGGGCTGCAAGAAAGGAAGAGTGTTGAAGCTTCTTTTTACAAACTTTAGGGTGAAAGTTAAGCTGCAGATAAGCCACAATCTGTACAAACCATATGGTGGGGAAACTCAATCACTCACAGGCCACTGCACCTAGGAAGCAGGACTTAACTCTATGGAGGCTGTGGCCTCCATAGAGTCAACCACGCAATCACGTGATTTTATACCTGCAACTTCCGAACTAGCTCCTACGTAGGGTTGCGCAAGCGCAAAGGATGTTTTCCAACATCGTGGATTTCTCTTCGTTAAAAAAAAAAAATATTAAGAACTAAAAAAAAAAAAATCACTTCCAGTCGTATTTAGCAACATCCCACCCCCCCCCCCCCCCCCCCTCAAAAGAGAATAAATAAAAAAGAAACTCCAGGGGGAACATATAAAGAAATACCAGTGCACAACACTACGATTAAAAACCTACACTGACACCAACGGCATTGTAACTCACGGGCTCAAGGTAGCTTGTCAATCATGTTGGGGGTGCTCTTTCGTGTCGTAATCCTTTTTTTCGTTGTTTCTAGTTGGAGTCCATGGCTTAGATGCCGTCGGCTTACTGTATTATGCCGAGTCATCGCCCTCCCCCTGCTGCCTAAAATTCATAAGAAACAGGGGTGGGCCATGCCTCGGTGGGTAAGCACAAAAAGTTTAGAAAAAGCTAAATAAATGACCATTTTTCTGTACGCATCTAGCGCGGCTGCACAGGAGATACATTAAATTCAGAACTCGAATTAGTTTCATTGTTTTATGCAAGAAGTGCTCGCAAAAGAATGTTTTACTATCGCAAAGTCCGTTGCTTGCATACGCGGGATGAACACTGGCAATCGGCATACAGCTCGAATGCTTGTTCTGCGAAAGCACGTTTCTAACACTACTACGTTCTCTTCACTAAAAAGAAATGAAAAAAAGGAAAAAAGTCAAGAAGAAAATAGAAAGCATAACCAGGCTCAATGAGCGAGCCAGTGAGCGGGCGAAAGAAGCCACGAGGAGCGATGCGGGAAAGCTGGCAATTGCGTTGGCAAATAAAATAAAATAAAGACTGCGGCCGCAGTCGTGACCGCACCATTGCAAGCGACGCCGCGACTGTGGCCGGTAAAGTTGTGCTACGTTTAAGACAAAGCCAACGGGTAAATAAAGTTTTGCTGGAACACTGCACACAGATGTCTGTAGAGTGTCCCATTTTGAGCTTCGTGTTCGTGGTGCCATTCACGCCATGCAGCAATGCCGCCTCAACCCGCGTCGATAGCATGCCATGAACGGACACACGCATTTATGCACCAAGCAAGAAAGCGGTGCAAGAGCCTCCTTGCGCCACTTTCTTGCTTGGTGCATAATGGTAGACATCATGTTCCGAATGTTGTCTGCTAACATGAACGCCACAACGCTAGCGAAAATCGAAAGTGCAATTGCCGAGGCAAACGCCGAGAGCAAAAAGCAGTTGTCTGGCGAACCCTTTGGTTCCGATGAGGCTTATTGCACACTCGCGCCTGATATTATATTAAAGTTTCCCCAAGCAAAGCAAGGGGTGACCGCGTGCAGCGCGGCCTGTTTAAATGTCTAGCTTGGAGCCGAAGCTAGCATTGCCGTGTTGGTAGCAGACAGCACTTCAAAGATGGCGTGGCGGTAGCTGGCTTCAGACACTGTGTTCGTGTGTACATCTATTGGCATTTGGTGACCATGGCTGACAGACTTTATTGTGCGGGGAAAAATGGTGTTGTGGCAAGATCAGGCGCATACTCGTGCTCCTTCGATGGGCTTTTTAGTGGGTGGAAAGGGGGAACAAAAAAAGTTCAAAGTAAGTACTTAACACAGATGGCTGATTTTCTCCGGCACCTAATATTTTGATGAGCTTTACACGAAAAGCATTTTGTTTTGGCCATTCGACGGTTGGATTTTCCCCCCGGAAAATGAGGGGAAACTATCAGACTGGTGAACTTTTCCTTTTTATTCAAAAAATTGCCCCGGTGGATTATGCACTGGGTAAAATAGGCCATGTGCATAGGAGTGATAGCAAACGTTTTAGTATACCGACGTCTGCACTCCGACTGCTCAAACCTTCTCAGTTCTCTATCTCAGTTTGACAAAAGTAGGCCCCGCTACCGGGTTCCATAGTTAATAATAATAATAATAATACTTTATTTAAATGACAAATTACATAGACAGTAGTGCTGTCCTACAAAAGCAGCGTCCTGCTCGTGTGTATGGCCATACAACCTGCAAACATACATGCACTAGAAAGCAGGCGCACTTGAAGTGCTAATGTGCAGCTTAGAATGCCTCCACCCCCGGTGCAGTGTGGGGCTTTGGCGTCCTGTCCGTGTTTGTGGTGAGCTGCTGCTCCCTGGCCGGGCTGGTGCTGGTGCCCTTCCTCAGCCACGGCCTGTACCACGTCCTGCTCATGGTCTTCGAGGGCCTCGCCGTCGGTTCCCTGCTCGGCAGCGCCGTCTTCCACCTCATCCCGCAGGTGGGACCCCCCTTTTGTTGGGCCTAGGGTCACTGTCGGTCAGGAAATGCAGCCATTGCACCCGTGCTGGCTAAAGACCCGTCAACATACTCGCATTCGCTTACGACCGAGTCCTTGAGACCTCTTATAACAAAAGACCGTGCCAGCGCCACCTAGGATGTGACCCTGGAACTCCATTTCACTTGAGCGAAGGTTTTGCTGTACTTGTGAGATTAAATGTATTTACCGCCCACGAGAAATGGTTGTATATAACATTGTCAAAAGTTTTTCGAGCCAAGAAAGAAAGGACGATGTGCGAAAAAAATGGGAAACGCGCGGGGATGCCGATTGTTCCATGGCTAGCCGATAGGCAGCACCAGCGTGTCGTCCCGTCATAAGAGATTTTAAGAGGTTTTAAGGCAGATGGTCGCAAGCAGTTTATATAAGAACTAAACCCACAAGGACAACAATGACGCAAATTATTTGTTTGCGTTTTCGAGGCAGCGCTCGACTAACGTAGCTCGGCGCTGCGTTGGCGTTCAGTTGGGGTTTGTGTTTGGTCGATAATGCACCGATTGAATCCTGCCGAATGCCGACTCTGGTCTCGTGACCAATTTATGCCCCACGTTCGACTGAGGGAGATGAGGTGAAGAAACCGGTCCCAAGGCCTTGTGATGGATTAACACCGAGCTGTGTGGAAAACAAGCTGGGCAGAGCGCCCCCTGTATTTCGGTAGTCTCGGACAGCTTGAGAAAGCCAAGACGCGAGTCGTTAACATTCAAGTTTGTTGCTTTGGCATTCTTGCACACTAATTTTGCCATCTCATTGGCCGAGGAGCGATGATAAGATGTTTAGTCTGTCCTGCATAACTTAATCTGCTGGTTGCTATAAAAATCTAATCTTTTAGTTCTGGTACTGTTTTCCACCAACGTCTGCCACTGGCACGGCAGTCATTCATGCTCTGGTGTCGCGCGTTAGCACCGCCGACGCGGTGCTTAGAGTTACACGGTCACTGTTTGCAACAGTTGTGGCGAATTGTGACATCATTTGTTGCCACGTCGGTGACGCTTTCGACGTTTGGGACGGGATAGGGTGCTAAACAAATGGATCAGAGACACGTCTCGAGCACCAAAGCTTGGGGCAGCACTCTGATGCAGCTCCTTCCCGTGCGCAGGCCTTCAACCTGCTGGGGCACGACCGGGAGCACGACTACCTGTGGAAGTCCCTTATCGTGTTCCTGGGCATCTACCTGTTCTACCTGAGCGACAAGCTCATGCGCTTTATCGCCGACTACCGACAGGTGAGCGCTCGACTGGCTGGAAGGGACCTCTGGTCTGGTCTGTGGAGCACTGGTGCCCGGCAAGGCGTCTGTCGTCGCATTTTTCTCACTGAAAGTTTCCGAGGATTGCCTATACCTTTTTAATTGGATACTGGTAAGTTCTGAAACCTCGGCGTCCGGTTTGGACTGCTCGAGCTACCTTTGGGTGGAGATTGAGTGTTAGACGATGCATAGGTTATTTCTGCAGTGAGAAAAATACTGTAAACTGTTTATGAGGACACTCTGTACTATACTCAGTCTCAGCACACCTTGATAAACAGCGAAGACTACGGTCCCAGCGAGCCAATCGGCACATCGAAGGAAGGCACCTGACCATACTCTATCTCGCTAGTTGTGTGCAGTGCTGTCAAAGCCACGGGCGGAAGGGAGAGAGGAAAGCTGCTTTGGTGCAAAATTTGAGTGGCTGGTTCATCTTCCGGGGGGGGAAGGGCGACGTCTGGGACACAAAAAAGAGGGTCCGGGTTAGAGAAGAGTTGCTCCTTCCCTTTTTTTGCACCTGCTTGGGTTACGCTCTTGCCCCTGTACGTTCGGTAAGGGCTGTCACATACTTCGCTTCCGTCGCTCTCATTTCTCATTGGCTCGAAGAAACCGTAGTGTTTGCTGTTTGCCAAATTACGATGAAACAAAAGAAAGAAAAAACAAGAGAAAGAGTGTGTGGCTGTAGCTACGTAGGACAGATGGGACGGTGTGTGAATGACAAGCTCTGTAATTGCAGCTACTCTTTGAGAGCCATTGTCGGAGGGTATCTAAGTATCTGCTGTAGGGATCGCTAGGCGCCGAGCATGCTTCAGGTAGACAACTGTCTTGGTAAGGCACAAGGTCAAATTGACCCAGGGGGTACTTGAAGCATACTGCATCTATGTCAGGAAGACATGCATACATAAGGTACATACATTTTATTTTCAGTTTTAACATCTTGCAATCTGTGCCGACATAAGTCGATAAGGCTTGTGCATTGGGCGCGGCAGCTACATTTTCAGGAAAACACACACTTTTGTTAAAATAAAGTTTGTGCCTCTGGCGTGCCCAAAAGTTTCATTGTAATACAGTCGAACCCAGATATATCGAATTCAAAGGGAATCGTAAAATAGTTAGACATATCGATAATTTGATATACAAAAATATGTTAACTTAAGCTCCAATCGAAATTTCTGTGTGTCTCTGCTAATACTGAAGGCCGCGACAAACCGGACCTTACCAGATAGAGCCTCTAAGAGCCGCTAAATACGGTAGAGCTTAGTTGGTGAAGATCACAAACACCTTTGCGTTTACCCGACGGTGTTTGCAATCGTTTACGCCTAGCCACGACCTGCACACAGCGCCGGCAACAAAACTTGAAAACAGTTTTAAAAAATGAAAGGGAAAAGGCAAGCCACATAAAAAAAAGTTTCCATCCATAGAATAAAGTTAAGCAAGCAACAAACAAAAAAACCCCTAAATTCAAACAACAAAAAAAGCAACAAAGAAAAGGGCAAAGCAGAAACAGCGAAAGAAAAGGTAAACAAAGATGAGCGTTCAAAGTATGATTGCTCAACCGTTGTTGTCGACGCGCTCAACTTGACAAAGACTTCTTTTTTTTATTCGCTTATTTTGTTTTGTGGCAAAGGAGTCGCGCAGCGTCAGCGGTGTTCAGTGAAAGAGTGCACGCTACCGTTCCAACAGTGGGCGCTTCCTGGCCTCCTTACGCGACGCGTGCGGTGCCCTCCCTCTTTGCTTTTGCCATCCTCCACTTTTTACAGCGGAGCTGTCTAAGGGCAACTCCGCTCAATTCCAAAAATTTTGGGCTTACATGCGATTCCATTTCCCAAAGCACTATTAAATAGCCCTACGTCACCTCACCTCAGGGGGGTCACGTGACCTCACGGTTACACCGACGGCGACGCCGCTCAAGCCGGAAACGGGCCCCTAAGAGCTGCGCTCTAAAACGAAATTTATAATAATAGACTTGGTCAGAGGGGTGGTCCACTTCATTGATTCTGATTTTCTTTATAATTAGTTGCCTTTTTGGTTCAACTATCCTTTTTTTTTTTTTTCTGTGCGGATTTTTGCATTGAGTTATATCTTCAGGCAGCTCGTTAAAAAGTTTAGGTACATAGTATTTTCTTGTTTCCTCTCCATATTTGTCTTTTATAAATGGTTCCACAAAGATTCTGCTTGTACGTAACATTCTTTCCTTAACTGTTTCTATTTTATGTTTAGTGTTTAAAAAATGTTTTGTGTCCTTATGTCATACTTCAGTTGATCACGTAAGCACACACCTAAATCTTTCTGCATGTACCTTAAAATAATTTTCTTCGCTATTATGTCCTACCTTTCTAAATGTCTTCTTTTGAATAGATCTGTTTGTGTCGTGACACAGAGAGCACATTCATTATCTCGCTTTCTTACAGCTTCTTTATGCCACGTGTATCAATATTCAAGTGACTTTCCTTTTTCCCGGGCTTCGAAAAAAACATTTTTGTTTGTTTCAGTCAAGTTCAACATTTTGAAATCTAATCCAAAAAAATTTTGGTGTGTAGTAAATCCAAAATGCAAAAATACAGGCCCTTCTGTTATGTCAGAAGAGGGTAGCATCTTAAACTTGATTGAAACAGCAACGGCTCTTAATTAAATCTTTGGTACTGTCTTCATGGATGAGATACCTTTGACTGATAATATGTTAACATCTAAAACGTCTACTGAAATGAATACTTTTATCATTACCAGTGAGGGAATAGCCAATGCAATAGATCGTTTGCCAACAAATTCAAGCCTCAGTTTGGACGGTATAAGCGCAAAGCTGCTTAAACTAGCAAAAAATATGTCAAGTGAAATTTTAGCGGCACTTTTTCGTAAGTCACTCTCTACCGGGATCCTATCCGATGATTGGAAACTGGCCCATGTCATCCCTATCTTAAAATCTGGCAATCGCAACTCTCTCTCAAACTGCAAAACCATTTCTCTCACTTGCGTTTTATGTAAATTTCTGGAACACATAATTTATTCTCAAATTATAAATTATCTCGTAACTAACCATTTTCTTTTTCCAGACCAGCGTATTTTTCAACAACAATGTTCTTGTGAACTTTAACTTTTTGAGCTAATTACTGACATTCATTAAAGTATTCACTCCTCCCTTGGGAGAGATGCTATAGTTATAGACCTTTCTAAAGCTTTCGATTGTGTTTTGCATAGAAGATTAATAAAGAAGCTTACCGATGTTAGTATAGAGACAGGTGTCATTAAATAGAGTATAAATTTTTGTTAAACAGTTTCAGTGTGTTTTTAGATAATATTATTTCCCAACCAATGTGCGTAAAATTAGGTGTTCCACAAGAATCTGTACTTGGACCGCTTATTTTTCTAATCTATATTAATGATATTCATGCAAACATTCAGTCAACTATTCGGCTTTCTGCGGACGATTGTATACTTTACTGGACCATAGTTTTTCCCTCTTATAGCACTGTATTACAGGCAAACCTTGACAAAATTTCAACATGGTGTATTGATTGGCAGATGAAGATCAATATAGACAAAACCAAACAGATGACCTTTACTACAAAAGAAAAGAACACTGAGCATATTTATAAAATTAGCGATGCAGAGATAGAAAAAGTACAAACGTTTAAGTGTTTAGGTATTCATCTTACATTAGGTTTATCTTGGATATGTCACTCTTCTTTTGCCTTTCCGTCGAATACACATTGCTACAGCTGACCGTATATCTCCTCGCATAGACCACTCCAACAAAGTAAACCTGATGTTTGCTCGCACAAGTCTATATAAATATTCTCCATTGTCCTCGCTACCACAGAGTGGAATGCCTTGCCGTATAATCTTGCCGTTGCAGAGGATTATCAGACTTTTTTTTAAATATCCTGACTTCCTTTCTCTCACAAAATGCATAGTCGCTGTTGCATTTGTTAGTTATGTCACAATCATGCAGCATGTCATGTGTGTGATTTGTATTGTATTTTGTTGTACTGTCAATATGTAATCTTTGTATGAATTCTCTGCTATGTAATGTCCAAAAGGGTCTGTACTGTAAATAAATAAATAAATAAATAAAGTTTTCTTGCAAGTAGATGTTATCAGTTCCGTTTTCCGAGCGCTACTTGTTCTTGTTTTTTAACCATTTGTCTCGGGTGGTTTGATTCAGCAATCTTATCATTATTGGCGACATTTCCCTTTTTCTCATTCTAACCAATTTCTTCAATGTGCCCGACGTTTCGAAGCCAGCTCGGCTCCTTGTTCACGGGTGACCGTATATGGGCCCAAAGGTAGCAACCTGTCGTCGTTTTCTTCTCTCCTTTTTTCAAAAAAAGAAAACGACGACAGGTTGCTACCTTTGGGCCCATATATGGTCACACGTGAACAAGGACCCGAGCTGGCTTCGAAACGTCGGGCACATTGAAGAAATTGGTTAGAGTCTACGTTGTACTTTTTCTTATTACTTACCTAACCAGGCGGAGTTCCGCCGAAATGTTTACATTTAACTTTTTCTCATTGGCACACAGTGGGCTGGTTCTACATCCTATTCTTTAGTCGTGGTACCTGCAGTCTGTTCGTAAGACTTTTAAGCTTCTCAGTTAGGTCCTCATGTTCTGTGACAACAATTCCATGAACCTCAAGGTTAGTTAACCTACCATACTGTTGAAGGTTGTTGAGATCTTGTTTTAATTTTGTGACTTTTTTGCTTTTGTTTGTTCCTTCGAGCTTGCAAACTCTTTGCTTGATTTGAACTATTTCCACTTCATGCACAGTTAGCTGTTTCATAGCTTCATCATACCTATCCAACATCTTTTGCACATTTCTAAAAATTTTTTGTACTGTTTCTTTTACACTGGTCAGCTCATCGACCTTCTTTTCTAGTGATCCAAGAAGTGTCAACTTTTGCGCAATTTCTGCCAACTTTTTGTGAATATTATGGTCCCTAGTTGCCGCACTAGTCTGAACTATACTAAATTGTAACCGTTTTTTTGGAAATACGCCAGGTTTGACACACCCAGCTTTCTCTCAGGGTAGTTGATAGTTTTTTTCCAATACCAGAGCAATTTCATACATAGTAGCCCACTCCACATTCAATACATCTCATGTCATTTCCATCTTTTTCTAAAGGTTGGTTACAGTTCAAACATTCATCTTGACCATCACTTCCGAACGCCATTCACAAGGCTAAACAACAGTTTCGCAGTCAGCGGCAGTTTTCTGGGGGGGGGGGGGTAGGGGGAATTATCGGCAGGTGCGAAGTTGTTGCCGCCGCTATCGCGCGTCCCTCCTCCGCTGCCTGGTGTTGCCCGCCACCGACGAGCTAATGTCCGACGGGAGCCCCTCTCCGGAGGCGCGTGCCTTGGTCTCGGACATTTTCTGCTCTGTTTTAGGGCCACGGCCGCATGGTCTGCTCCGCCTCCGTCGTCGGACCCGCCCTCTCCCAGGGTTGTGAATGCTTGTGCAAAGATGTGGAACACAGCGTTTTCTTCTTTCTTTTCCTTTTCTGCTTGTAGTAAAGTTCCTAGTTGCGAGTTGGTGCTCTGTCCTGTCCCGTTCTTCTTTCTATTTTTGTGTTTGCGCTACTGTACCTCAGTGTGAAGAAAGAGCGTTTGGCACGTGTCCCTCGCAGCGGCGTAGCAGCCAGAAGGCAGTTCTCTCCGTGGGCCACCCGCTAACCAACGGCTGCGTGCCCTCCGAGCCCAAGGTGGGCCACCCTGCAGAGCACCAGGTAAGGACAAATGAGGCCAAGGAACTTGCCAGGGTCAATGGTGGACGTGTTTGCAGATGACCGAGTTGGCGCGGGTTGTAACTTACGGTGCCATTCCCAACAGGCGCAGCGAGTAGATGTCAGCAAGCAGACGAGAGTGCGTCGTTTGCTCGTGGCGCTTGTCGGGAGATGCTGCTACTAAAGTCACTGGAGCCTGAGAGTAAAGTGCTAATGTTTGCTTAATGATCGCCATTTTGGGCCATGGAATGAGCAGTTTCTTTTTCTCCTTTTGGTAAGCCGATCCAAAATTTGTGGTGATAGGTTGCTCTGTAAGAACGTTTACTGTACACCGAAATATTTTTATCCACTCGCTGGCGAAACAAGCACACATCTTAGCACCGCCATCACATGCAGCATTGGTGCTTGGCGGCATTGAAATTCTCCTCATGAAATACAAACAAAGAACAATATTGTGAGAGACCTTTGGGATAAGACAGTGATAACTTGAATTGGTATACAGAGTCCAAGACTCTTATATTGGTGGCGAGAAATGCTTCTGGCACTACGTCGCGCCATCTTAATCTTGGAGCGACTGGTTGAGAAAGAACCTTTCGAACTCCGAAGATTTGAAAGGACTAAAAGAGCGGTCGCCATGGCAGCAGAGACCGTTCGGCCAGTCGCCTTGCGAGGTTTTAATTGCCTGTATGTTAGTATCTGTCTGCGTCCTGCTGGCAGGCAGGGAAGGCAATGGCATTACTTTCATAGGATCCAGTGACGTTTAAGTGCCACGAGACGAACAGAGATATACAGACGGAACGCGACGTGGGTCGAGAGGTACCGCGTACCAAAGCGTGCCACTACTTCTAGGGTCACGAGCATGGCCTGCGCCCGGGGGACAGCGTGGCTGCGGTGGCCTGGATGGTAATTTTCGGGGACGGCATGCACAACTTCATCGACGGCCTCTCCATCGGGGCTGCCTTCTCTGAGAGCCTGCTGGCAGGGGCAAGCATCTCAGTGGCTGTCGTCTGCGAGGAGTTCCCCCACGAGCTAGGTGAGTAAGCCCTCCTCCACCCGCCCTGTCTCCCCCAGCACTGCTGCGAATAATGTCTCGTGTCGTGCCATAGGATGTCGCAATCCTGACGGCGGGTCATAGAGAGGCTGGGGAAAAAGCCAAGCAGGTGAAAGCGTTTCTGTCGCCGCGGCGTCCCGTGGTTTTCGTCGACCGTCCGACTGCAGACCAACCCGCAGCAGAACGGGCGCCCGCTTTGTCTACCTCCCCTGCTGTGTCACCACGAGAATCGTGGCACGGAACAGTAAAACTATAATGCAGTCTTTTAGTTTGTCATTATTTTTTTGTTTTTGTTTTAGCGGAGCTGTTAAGGGCTAGGTTCCCCAGAATCGTGTCCGGTATGTCGACACAAACTTGCCTGAACAGCTACCGCCATGTATAAGCGACGGCGGCAAGCACTCAACCAGTATGGTTTCCGCCGTCGCTCATAGATGGCGGCAACCTTTCCAGCTATCTAGGGTGCCTACATGTCTGTCTGTCTAAGGGTGAAGTTGTTTACAGTATTTATTTGTCACAGTAGTGTGTACATAATTGAAATCACCAAGGTGTCTAGCGACCGGGAAAATGGGGAAAACCAGGATGTGTCAGGGAAATTTTAATTACCGGCAAAAATCAGGGAATTGTCAGGGATGTTGTCAAAAAGCGAGCCCAGTCAGGGAAAATAAGCCGGAAACGCCAACGAGTGAGTGCCCTGAGCAAAGACTTCAGGACTTGGGGGCAGAAATTTAGACAATAAATTCAGCATAGAGCTGGGCGCAGGCTCTGCTCACTCGAGTTAGAGTGTGCTACCCGATGCAAAGAGAACAGCAGACAAATCCAGTCCAAGGATTGGATTGGATTGAGAGCACGACACTAAAATGGATCCAGTTAGAGCTACTAGTAACAAATAGTAAAGCCGCAGACCCCAATCCAATAAAGCCTTAAGCCGAAAGTATCCGAAAGTGCATCTGGTGGTCATGTTGTTATTCAGTTATTGACGTGTGTGGTTCAGCGTCGTGTTTTCATTGTCTGTCTGGAAAAAACCTCTTCACTGACGATGTCGGTGGCAAGAAAGTGGTCGTTTGATCGGAACTGGATGAACCCGAATATTTCGGAATATGCAAGTTAGATCAAGCCCGTGCAGAATGATCCTCGCTGTGCTCGACACTCAATGCCTTGTGTTGTAATGGTCCTATATATTGAACTGCCTCTAGAGTGGTCAGGGAATTTCACCTGAAATTGTCAGGGGAAACGTGTAAAAGTAAGGGAATTTGAAAAAAATAATTTGCTAGACACTTTGATAATGATGACACACACACTGTGTGCTCAAGAAACTCTTGTTTCTGTGCTTGAATCTCATCATTGGCACCAATAAAAATTTGCAGTTAGCACTGTACATTGAAATGTTGTGGGATATTTTGGACCATGAAAACAATCTGAACCCTTTCTCCAAAGGACAGCTAGGGAACTTGGCACACAGAGCCCAATCAAAGAGGAGAGCAAACATTTAACCACAAAAAAACATTGTTGAACATTCTTCAATGTAACATAGGGCGATCCTGGAGATGGCTGACAACCCAATAAGGAATTGTGTTCAAAGGTCACAGCACTTCCTTTCCCATCCCCCCAAATAAAAAAAGGAAAACTACTGTGCCAGCTAGAATACTGACCTTCCTAATTAATTTGGATGTTTTCAACTAAGTATATATTTCTTGAATGAGCACAAGAAATCAATCCCAAGCAGCAAATAAATTTCTGGAAAGCTAGGGATGCTACATTAAAATTTCGGCACTTATTTCTTGGTCTATTTGTGTTTAAGAGAGCAGTATCACATCAGACATATCTATGTCTTGTTGAAAGATACACGAAAAGGAATTTTTAAACAAATAAATGATTAGCAAAGAGCATTTGGTGGATGTTTCTAAAGCTTAGTTTGTAATGCCCGTCTAGGAACCTTGACAGGTTCCTAGACGGGCATTGCAAACACAGGTTCCGGGACTCTCTTTTGTGTGTCCCAGACGTCGCTATTGTCCCGCTACAAGATTATAGAAGATTTTCCCATTACCTGAAATTCGCACAAAAGCAGCTTTGGGGTTAGTTGTGGTAGCCCGATCGCTGGCATTCTTCGGCCGCTTCGGTGGTTGGAACGGCTAGGACATCCCGTCGACGTCGGCCTCGCTGCAGCTGTGTTCGCCTCGAGAAATCTCCATCATGATTGCTCTGGATGTCATGTTCTCTCCGCTGGCGGCTCTCCGAGCAAGTGCCAGAGTTGCCCGTTAATAACGAAAAATACGGCCATCTGGCTCAAAGTACAAATGTGTAGTTGTTATTTACGGATATTGGGGATCATATTCAGCCTATTTCTGAAAATGACAGGTATATTTTAAATTTTGTTCAAGTATCTCTTTAAAATCATTTTGAATCAACAAGTTACAGTCAGCCTTTATAACGAACACCTCCACAACGATGACGCTTGTTCATTGAAGTAAAATAAGGTCCCGGCCAATCATCTGTGTTCAATGGGTTTCTCCGACTACAGTGAATCCCTGTTTAACTAATATTTCTGTTTAATGGAGCAATTTTGCGGCCACACGAAGCAAACATGACTGGTATTATGAATTTTGTAGAGGAAAAGTAATCAATTTCATCTAAATTGTCACTCTCCAGTGACGCACGTAGAAAAGGGAAATACTTCAGCAGCTGTGACCATTGAAATAGCCGCTGCGCTGCCTCTGCCGTGCTGCACCTTCTCGGTTTTGGGTCCAAATAATGTGTTAGTGTGCAAGCTTGTACCTAGATGGTGCTCCATGACTATGCTGCTGCGTACAGGCTTTCTATGCAGCAACATGTAGTCGCATAGCGTCGTCTGGACACCAGGTTACACACTAACAAATTATTTAGACCCAAAACCACACCCAAAACCAGAAATGTGCGGCGTGGCGGCGGAGGCAGCGCGATGTAGGCAACGCTGCGCCTCCGCTGCACGCGCTCGTGCATACTTTTTTTTATCACGCCTTTGAGTATGCATGCGCCACTCTTCTCCAAGACGAGTTTTTTTTTTTTAGACACCGTTTGTGCGATGCATGCACTAATTTTCTTATTTTGAATGCACGTCAGCACATTTGAAAAGACCTGCGTGCCGTCTTGGCATTGGTTGGACCGACGCGCAGATTTTTGTCAGGATCCAAGATTGTCAATCTTGCTCAATCGGAGTCCCGAATTGTTTGGGCTTGGAGCAATAATATGCGGTCGAGGAAGCGGTCTGTGACTCTACCCGTGACTGCAAAATCTAAACGAAATTAGTAGAGCCACACAAAAATTAATATGCTCCCTCCCCGCCCTCTTTGTGCCGGACAGATATGAAAAAGAGCTTAATTGGCTCGATTGTGCGCCTCTTCCCATCCTCGCTGCACCGCTTGCAACAGCTGTCACGCACCGAGTGTGTGGCCGAATCTGCCGTGCTGCAGTACGCTGCCGTGTAAAGCCCCTGTACTAATATGCTGCCATGCCCGCTCCTACGCTGTCTAGTGACTCCACATGCAATCGAGAGTGGCACAGTCGCTTCGACAGCCACCTCCGAATGAGACATAGTGGCACAAGCCGCCGCCCAATTTAGGAAAGGCCAAGCTTGAACGATCGGCAAACGCCTTTCCCGATGTTGGTGGTTTAGTGATTTCTGCAATTCGTATTTTGATAAGTCAGTTAAGCTTGTTGTGTGGAAGTTTGGACAGTGGGTAAATTAGTCTGCAGCAAGGAGCGCCTGGTGTCTCGGCTGTAGATGACAAACTTTGCCAGTGGCGGTACTGGTGGTCGACTGCAAGCCTGGTGTCTAAATTGCGTCACGTGGCGGAGAATACCCAAACATGCGTCTATGGAATTTTTATTCATAAAAACGTTCGGCCTTTTCAGTCTCGTGAAGGAAGAAGCCCAGTGGAGCTGTACTCGATACAGTGCCGCAACACGCACGCGCCCGTTTCCTGTTTCTTGTCCAACACGCCACCAATCGTGGATACCATATAAACTCGTGTAAGGGCCGTGTTCTATTTTTTCCCGATTTGAGGGCAAATTTTCAAGGTGCGGCCCATACACGGATAAAAAAAAAATCTCTATCCACATTTCGAAATGAACGTACATAAACGCGCTCGGCTGCACTGGTCGAAAACACTTTCACTCCGAAATCTGGACTGAATTGTCAGTAGGATTTAATTAGTTTACATACTGCGCAATACGCATCTTTTTTTTTTTTTGTACTTGATAGCATGTGCGGCAACTTTCAACTTGAATCCCGTATGACTGTTGAAGTGGTACTTGCCCATAGCTCCGATTGCGCGAAAAGGCAGACAAATCACGACGCTTTGATATGAATTGAAGAACAAAAGAAAACCTCCCCAGAGCGTACACTGGCATTCAGAAACCTGAGTGCACGCGCAAGCCGAGCCCGCTGTATCCCCATTGCTCGCGCTTGCCACGGAAGCTGACATGTCCTTTATCTTTTCTCAATGTCTTCTGGCCACAACATAAACGCATCCCGACGGTGCAGCCGACCACGATCGATATCGGCAGCCATTGTGCCATACGGTGATACCGATGAGTGGAGAGCAAATATCGGGGATGCGGAGACGTGCTGCTACGTGCTCGGGCGGTGGCTAGCGCCACCTAGCGATATATATATATATTCATAGAAACTTTCATGCATTACAGTCGGCGCGCTTCAAAAACAAAGGGGTGCGGCGCATACACAAATAATTTCTCCAATTTTTTTTTTTTTTTAAATATTTTGTCTTAAATACGGGGGTGCGGCCCTTACACGGGTGCGGCCCTTACACGCGATTATACAATACGTCTCCGGCGAACCAGAGTCGGTCGCACACGGTGCACGTGATGCCAGATGGGTAATCCACGAACTCCCTCTGGAACCTCGCTGTCGCGCCCGGGAACCGTTCAGCCGGCGTGGAGTGCAGTTGTCGCCGGGCCTCGCGCTTGTGCTTGGCCTCGGTGGCACGATTGCAGTCCGTGGCATTGGCCTGCCGGCGCCCTTTACATCGCTGGTTCTGTTCTCGGCGGAGGCTTTCGAGGCGAGCGATGTGCTCTTCTTTGACAACGGAATCTGAAACGCTCGACGCAGTGGAAGTCTAGACGACAGCAGCTTTGCGGCGGACCCATTCGCGCTGCTGCGTTTGTCGCCGCTCCTTCTGCAGCCAGTCTTCTTTACCTGAAAGGGCGCGCGGCCGGCCCATTTTAAGTCCAAACCGAAACTGATAAGAGCGTAGGAAGCAGCATGCAAAACAGATGAGGGCGAAGAAACACACGTGACGAGCACTGCGCTCACTATGTGCGCTTCTTTGTCATCATCTGTTTTTCGTGCTGTTTCCTACGATGAATTCCCACCAACGCGCCAAAATATCCATTCTTCTATGATAGCTGGAAAGGTTGTCGCCATCTTCGAGCAACGGCGGCAAGCAGACTGGTTGTGTGCTTGCCGCCGTCGCTTATAGCTGGCGGTAGCTGTCCAGGTGTGTTTGTGTCGACAGGCGTTTGATACTGGACACGATCCTGGTGAACCTAGCCATTAACAGCTCCGCTGTAAAAGTGGTAATCGATTCGACGATGCCTAGATTCTGCAGTTCGAGCTTTCGCCCCATGAAGTTACCCCTGCTACATAAAATTTTACCGGTCACATGGATTTCGTTATAAAGGTGTCTCACTGTATGATAAAACTGACACCAAAACTAACGTGCAACTATACTGGTATGCCGTCTTAACGTGACGTCAGATAATATAAACATCAGCGCACGGGCAGCTTCAGCCTCATATTAACACACACTACAGCGCACTACCACAAAAGTAAGCTTGCACCATTCACATATTGCGCTGTAGTGTGGGTTAATATGAGCAACCAACTCGCCCAAGCTGCTACGTTCACAAACTTCAGCCTGTTTCATCCAGCGTTGGAAGCAGTCAGAAGACAGTTGAAATCATCCGTGGGAAATAATGGACCACGAATTACAAGCTTGTCTGAGTCGAGCAATGACCAGCAAATGTTTCGAGATTGCCAGCATGACATTGCAGACGATTCGCCATTCGGATTTGGTCTGCTGACATCGCCTCCGAGGGGACCAGCCGTGGCGGCTGCAGTTGCGATCCACTGACATGTGGACCCAGATGCCCCTTCAGAAGCTGGGTGGTACAGAAAGTTTTGTTTGCTAGCACAGTGAAACCTTTTTTCTAGCACACTTGGACCCAGCGCTTGCGACGGACTGCTCGGTCCACCTCCGTCGCAGGAACTTCTTGGTCAGAAACCAATGAGATGTCACTCTGCTGCATTTTTTTTTAATGTTATTGCGCCCTACAGCCCATCGCCGATTCCCCCCGCTTTCCTTTGCGTGCCATGAATAGCCTAAACTTGACAAGGTATGCAAAACCAAAAAGACTCGCCATCACTATGACGCACAACACTTTGAGAGAGGGAACATCTGCTTTCGGATACAACATTTGACGTCAGGAGCAATCTCAGCACCACCCCTGTCCATTGTTGCCAGTAGGGCGGCAGCCAGTGCGTGTATGCGTAAACTTCGAAACTTACTTTCTCGATAGAAAATGAATATATTTACGAGATATTTCCTATACATACTAGGGGCTGGATATTTAGTGCATGGGGACAATTTTATAAAAATCGATGTTTGCCAATAAAAGTAGATTTTTAAAGACAAAATTAATATTCTGCCTTTAAAACTGAATTCCGTCAAATTAATCTGGCATATGTTCATTATTTTTTTATCAATTTAAACCATAAACGCAGAACCCTAGGTGTGACACTTTTCCGATATTGTTGGGTCGAAATCGAGGTTCATCTTTTGCGACTGCAGTAAATGCACCAGTCTGAGAGGTGCTTCAAGTCCCATAACATTACCGTCGGTAACAGTACGACACCTGGTAACTATACGGTGCACCCCCCTTTTGACATGGTGCAGGGGACTTTGCGGTGCTGCTTAGTGCGGGCATGTCCACACGGCAGGCCGTGGCCTACAACTTCCTCTCTGCCCTGACCTGCTTCCTGGGCCTGGGCGTGGGCATCCTGGTGGGGGACTTTACCCAGGGGGCGCCACACATCTTTGCCCTCGCAGCAGGGATGTTCCTCTACATCTCCCTGGTGGCCATGGTGAGCAGCCCAAGCCTCCGCGGGGAGGGGTAGAATATTGTAATCGTTTATTCGCCATTTGTGGAGCAGAGCATTGTAACGGTCTCAAATTTTGACCCCGATAGACCATTCCACTAAGGATTATCTGGATGGCGCCATTTTGTTTGACTGCAGCACCATCGATATACATCTGGGAATTTCAGTGGAAGCATCAGGGTAAAAGAGGGAAAGGTCATATGGTGTTCTCATCGTTTGGGCAGTTTTAGTGGGCTCTACCGCCAGAACTGCCCAAACATTGTGGCCCTTTTCTCTCTCTCCTCTCATCTTAGTAGAATGGTCTATTATAGGCAGACTGAATGGGGCAAGGAATCCAGCAATAAGCTTCACTTCATCAAGCTCGTTCTTGGATTGCGAGTTGGTGGTGGTGGTAAAACGTCTATTACACAATGATCGCTCTAAAACACTGTGGTGGAAGAGTGAAGCCGGGTACCAACCAGTGGAGCTTCAGGGTTTTGGAGGTACCTACCTGAGCAGTGATTGCCAGAGCTTGGTGGCAGTCGCCTTAGGGGTGGAGGGATCCAAGCTAGCCCAAGCATGAAGCGAGGTAGGCCAAGAACGTCGTTGGATGGTGGCCAAGGCACAAGTCCGGGGCTCCGAGCAAGGCAGGCAGACCCGAAACAGGTGCTCCGTGTCAGCCTTAGCGTGGCACGTTCCACTCACACCGGGAGGAAGAGTAGGGGGGGTCTCTTGCGCTTTGGCTGTCGTGTCGTTTGTGCTTATGGAACCGGTATAACAGATAGAGGGTGAGGATGGATCCGGACCGTAGAATATTTATCGGAATGTAACAAGCTGCCGGCAAGAGAACAGGTGACGGGGAGGAGAGGATGTGAGGAGGGGATTGGCTGTGGCCGAAAGGTAGACTCTATGATAGAGCCTCTTTAGGCTTTATCGATAGAGCTATGGCCGAAAGGTGAGAGATTACCTCTTTAAAAATTAGATTCCACAATGTCTTGTTATGTCGGCTTTGCATAGGTCAGGGGTGGCCAGAGGGACATGGGGTTAGAGTTGAGACAAAACTACAAAAGTTCGGAGAGCCGCAGGGAAAAAAGAAAGGTGGGGGGGGGGGAGGCTACTTTGAACCAAAAACAATGCAGAGGGAACAGTCCTTTCCAAAGGGGACAAGTGTAATTGTCGACTACAACAAATAACACCAGGCAGCAGAACGTTTCTTCACCCACTAAGCAAAAATGAATGAACGGTTCTTCAGCCAGCCACTGCCCCTGATGCGTGCTATGCGTTTGAAATTCTCTCTAGGACAATAAAGGAACAGGATCACTGGACGCATCTACCGTATTTACTCGCATAGTGAACACACTTTTTCCCCAAAAGTGGACACATATTTGTGGGGGGGGGGGGGTGTCTTTCATTGCACGGGGTAAAATTTTTGCATTTACACATTTCGTGGAAATGTCACATTAGGTGCCAGTATGACACGGCAAAATACTGAGGCACGTTTCCAGTGATGGAGGCGCACCCACGGCTGGTAGGGGGTACGCCACAACAGCCATGCTTTATAAATTGCAAACATTTTTAGGGCACTTTCGGGTGCCTTTTGTCAAAGGAAAAAGCAAGGAAAAGCACCCTACGAAGCTCACTCAGCATGAAAAGCAACACGACCGTTCTTAGGCCACATATATTGCTAGTATCCGCTCCGGAGGCCACGCTCAGGTATAATCCGCGACTAAGCGTATAAGAACTCGTACGAAGTCCAACCCCCGACCGCCGAAGCCCGCTTGCATGGTATCAAGTTTCGTTCACGGAGACAAGAATTCATACGAAGTTCAACCCCCGAAGCCCGCTTGCACGGCTCGAGTTTTGTCATGGAGAGGCTACCAGACACTCTCAGCCTACAGCGCAGCGTGCACCTTGCACCTCACTGTGCCATTCTGTTGCGGATTAATTAAACGCATTTACCCAAAGTATGTGAAATTAGGCCTAACCGTTTTCACGATTTCACTGTCCGAAAGCGGACCACAGACAACGGCTTGTTTGTTGGCATCAATGCATCCGATAGGCGAAAAATGTCCGGGGCTCGGGAATTCCTCGACCCAAGTTTCGTCAAGTGTGTGCGACACTTGTTTTCACGGTTGATCACTTCCGCAACTACGCACTTGCGACCATTAAGCGAGCAGCCTGGCTTGGCTTGACTTGGCCTGACCGCTTGGCGGCAAAAGGAAACTGGCCTGGTGGCTTGCTAAATGGGACGCAATTCGAGACTCGCGGATCCGAAAGTTGGAGGTGCTTTGATTACGGTAGGGAAAAAAAGTAAAAATATTGATGCCCGTTGTGGGGGTGCGTTTATTATGTGAGTAAATACGGTATGTGTCAAAATGCAGTCCAGCTGTATATACGCAGTGTTGTGCAATGCTGCAAAGTTTTTTAGAGCGCAGCTCTTAGGGGCCCGTTCCCGGCTTGAGCGGCGTCGCCGTCGGCGTAACCAAGGTCATCCCAAGGTCACTTGACCCGCAAGGTCATCCCAAGGTCACGTGACCCCAAGGTTACCCCAAGGTCACGTGACTTCAAGGTCACGTGACCCACGTGACACCTAAGGTCACGTGACTCCCCGAGGTCATGTGACCCCCAGAGGTCACGTGACACCTAAGGTCACCCCAAGGTCACGTGACCCCTCCCCCAGGGTCACGTGACCCCCAAGCTCACGTGACACCCAGTGGCTCCCCAAGTCACGTGACCCCCGATGACGTCATCAGTGACGTCACTGATGACGTCACCGGCATCCGCATCGTCATCGTCATTATCACTGATGACGTCATCGGTATCTGCATCATCATCGTTACTGATGACGTCATCGTCATCGTCACGTGACCCCCCTAGGTCACGTGACCCCCACCCAAGGTCACTTGACCCCCCCCAGTGCCCTTCCCTGCTCCTCCTCAAGAGCTGTGCTCTAATTCGGCATTACAGGGAGTTGTAAACGGCTTTCACTTCTTTTATTTTTTATTCTAGAATTATTTCTCTCTCGGGGACACAGGAGGGGAAAAGGGGGGGGGGGGGGGGGCAGCTTATCAGTGAGCTGCGAGCTGCTTCGATCTTGCAAAGACTCGCATGTGGCTCACGAGCCGCAGTTTGGCCACCCCTGGCATAGGTCATTCCTATATCACTCGCAAATATCTCCTCTGTGGAGAAGACCTAGCGCGCTACGCGCACTGCGGAGACGTTGTATTCTCTACCCTACACTTCCTATGGATTTGTCCCGACCTTGATGAAAACGGACGGTATCGGTTTTTCAAGTTTTTTAGGTGCCGTATACGCTTACGCCCTTCTGTCTTTTTGCAAGAGCACCCCTTCGTCTTATTTGATTGTGTAGCCAGTTTTATTTCAAACACTGGCCTCGTACACCAGTTCTAACACCACACATATTTATTAGGTCACATTCCGTACTAAAAGAATGTAATGCGTATAGTTTGGTGCTCCTTTGGCCTATGTAGTGTTCTGTGCCATAAAACTCTTAATCGCCATTATCAGCTGCCTTCTAACATGCTTTGGCTGAGCATGCACACCGACAGCTCACGCCATGCCAAAGTGTTACCAAAATTAGCGAGTTTGTGCTGGAAACAGGACAACTGTAACTTTTCGCCATTTCGATCCTGTCAGTGACTTAAGGCGAGGTAACGACAAACGTGGCAGCATCTTCACCGTGAAGCGGCAATCGACAAACAGTGCCACTTGAGTGCCGTGTCTGAAGGACGTCTCTCTGCTTGCAGATGGGGGAACTCAATGAAGCCCTGGAGGCTGCAAGCGGGCAGGGCCTGCTGCAATCGGTACGTGTCCTCCTTTTCCGCGGTGCCCGCTGGGCTGCTTTGGGCTCCGGGGACGGTGCAGGTCGATCGGCGTTTGCTTCCCTTCTTTATGCAAGAATAATGTGACTTCTACCCGAGGTGATGTGCAGCCAACACCCTCTAGGCGAGCGCTCACCGTTGAGGCCGTCGGTCGTGGAGGGCGGAGCCCCGTGAAGCTCGGTGCGGCAGCCTGCATGCGACAGGGGCAGAAGTTGTATGGTGCCTGGAGCGCGTCTCTAACTGGGGTGTTTTATGTCCTACTATAACTAGGCTTCCATGTTTTCGAAGTTTATTTTTTGCCGAAAAATTGGGGTTTTATGTTTATTTTTATGGATTCCCGATTCTCTGAAAATTTGGACGTTAATTTTACCGTTTCCGGATTTTCAGTATTAAAAGCAAAATATAAAAAAATATCTGGACATAAGCGTACACTAAATTCGTAAGAATGCGCCCGTATTGAAAGATATTTCTGCAGCTGCATTTGGCATTTTCGCTCTTGCCTTTGTCACTGCTAACTGTCCCACAACAAATCTTGCAGAAAAGTGTTGCTTCAAATAAAAAGACACTGACACCCCCACCCCAAAACTTTTTTTTTTTTTTCTTGCCAGGCAATTTACTATGGTGTCGGTAGACTACCCAATCAATATTTTGCTACGGAGTCACATATATTTTTAATAAAGCCGAAAGAACTCTACTGCTTGGGATTGAAACCGAAACATGAGCACGGAGTTAATGGCAAAACATGAGCACGGAGTCGGGCAGCACCACGCAGGCCACATTTTAGCCTATCGTAGAATACTGCGCATCTGCCCATTCCACACTAAGCGCCCATTCCCAAATTTGTAAGGTCTGAGAAAATACGCGCACTACGTTTATATGTAAAATTGATGAGCGGACGAACTTCATCCCCCATTTTTTTGCAATTATCTTAAAATTTTGAGTGGGTGCTTGCCCAGTATTTTGTGCCATTGAAGAAATCATACACATGCATATTTAGCACCAAGTACAGTCGACTCTCGGTAATTCAAAGTTGCATAATTCAAATTTTCGGTTAGTTCAAAGCATGGGCCCTGTCCCGGCAATTATATGTACAATGCTATGGGGAAAAACACTCGGTAATTCGAAGGCTAAATGTTGGGAGCCGGTTAGTTCGAAGTTTTTTGTGTGTGCCTAAAATCTGGAAATCCCAGGAGGGAAAAAAACAAGCGCCAAGCGCGACTACGCAACGCTAAGGCCCGCGGCCGCGTCACTGGCGTCGCCGGGATGATGCAATCTAATGCAATGCGTGACGGCAGGCGCCACAGTGTGCTGCGAGTCGGTGGCGAGGAAGCAAAGAACAGCCTTGCGTGCGTGCGGCTATTTGCTTGTTTGCTTTGGGCACTGCTCTCGCGCTGTACCAAGACCTTCTGCTCTATGCTCTCCTTTCGAGCTGAGAGAGTGAGATGGGTGGCGTTCGTCAAAGCGGCAACGGCGTGAGCGGGCGGTGCTTAACCCCTAGAGTCTCGACAGCAGAGATCCAAAAGTGTGTTGGTTCCTTCGTATGTATGTGCTTTGGTGCGGCCCAGTAGTCGCTCCGTCGCGCTGTATCACGATGTGTGTCACGATGGATCAGTGGGGAAGTACCGCGCACTGGCCCTCGCTACCACAGTTAAGGTGCTGCAAGAAGTCTGGTCCGCTCTCGGACATCGAAATAATGAAACTGGTTAGGCCTGGTGTGGTGGTACAAGGAAGTGACAATGACTCTGACGACGAGGAACTCTCACCGCCGTCGATTCCCGCGCTGAGTGCCGCTGATGTGGAAGCTGCATTAGGCGTCGTAGAACGTTTTTTCTCGGGCGAAGAAAATGCCGAAGACGCCTTACGACACGTCCATAACTTGCATAGCCGAGTAATGGTGGCGCGGATGTGTCAGTGAAAACAATCCAAGATCAACTGGTTCTTCTCCTAAGTGAGTACTGAATAAAATACTCAGTTTTATATGTGTTTTTTTAATTTGAAGTGCGCCTAATTCGAAGCATTTCACTGTCCCCGTGAGCTTCGAATTGCCGAGAGTTTACTGTATACACTTTGTGCTTGACGTTTGTGCATTTTCCCAGCTCTTACCAATTTGTGTTCATAAGACAAGCAATGTTTTCAGCCAAGAGAGGGGGGCGATGACTTGGCGACGTCTTCGTGCGAATAAGCTTGGTGGTCGGGCTCGAAGCTAGACAGATTCACCAGTACTGCGAACGACTCCAATATTAACTTCGATGTGCTAAAAATGCTTTAAATAGCCTTGCTGACTCCAGGCTGAATCCTGGTTTGGGCTGTTCTGAATTCTTGTAAAGGTGGATTGCATGCAAGTGTGAAAAATGCTGACATTGGCGAGGAATTTTAAAAGTGGTATGACAGGTCTGACGATGCATATTCAGAGTGACTCCGGATTATAGTCAAGAGTGTGTAAGCATCGGATTGGTTCAAATTACCGATCACTAGGGAACTGATGGAACACTCTTCCCATGATACTTCGAGTGTGGGTTGGGGCGCTTGGGGGATTTAGCAAATAACCCGTAACTGAAACTTTTTTTTTTTTGATCGACGTATTTGCAGCTTTGTAGAAACCACAAAAAGGGGTTTCATATTTTATTTTTTTTTATTTTTAATGTTGAGTGCGTGTCTCTGATGACCCACGATTTTGAATATATTTGGTGCGTCTGTCTGACTGGCAAACGACCACGGAAAAGACAGTAAGCACGACTGAAACCAGCCAGTTTTTGATCGGCGGTTTTCGGGAGGATAAAAACAAATTTTGAGCCTCAAATTGTGTTTTGAGTAGCTGGGTTCTCATATGTCAGGTACAAATAAAAACCTTGGCAAGTGTAGATACCCTGTCAGTGTCACTTTCAACTCAATAATATGGAAGGAGAAAACACCTGGATGTACCGTATTTACTCGCAGAATGAACGCACTTTTTTTTCCGAAAAATCGATGCAAACTTTGGGGGGGGGGGGGCGTTCATTACGCGAAGTAAATTTTTTGCCTCCGTATTTACTCGCATAATGAACGGACCTTTTATCCTGAAAAATCGAAGTAGCTTCTTATCTCTTCGCGCGCCGCGCCCGACCCCGTAACCAAACTAAGCTGTGCAAAAAAAAAACAAAAAAACTCCTTTTTGTTTCTTTTTCTTTTAGTTCCTTGGTTTTTTTTGTTTTTGCCGCCTTTTGCAAGCTGTTTTGTTTGCTTAGAGGAGGGCTCTCCGCTTATCTTTCTTATCTCCATGCGCGCGACGACCCCCCCCCCCCCCCCCCCCCCCCCCCGTAACCAAACTGCGATGTGAAAAAAAAAAACTTTATTTTTTTTGTTTTTTTCTCAGTTCCGTGGGTTTTTCTTTTTTTTTGCCGTTTTTTCCAAGTTGTTTCGTTTGCTTGGAGGGCTTCTCCGCTCCTCTTTCTTACCTCCTTGCGCGCGGCGAGCGAATCCCCCGTAACCTAACTGAGGTGTAAAAAAAAAAAAAAAAAAAAAAGCTTTTTTTTTTTGTTTTTGTTTTTTCTTAGTTCCATGGTTTTTTTTTTTCTTTTTGCCCCCTTTCGCAAGCTGTTTCGTTCGTTTAGAGCGCTTCTCTTTCTTACCTCCTTGGGCGCCAGGGCGGGCGAACCCAAAGTCCAGACTGCACTGTGCAAAAAAAAAAAAAGAAAGCTCCTCTGTTTTTTTCTTGCTTCCTTTGGATCTTTGCGAATATTTTGTTAACGCCGTTTGCAAGGAGTTTTGTTCGCCCACGCTGCCCATGCATTCGCGACTTCGCTGCACCAGGATAGAAAAGTGCGTTCATTTCGCGCGCATGTGGGGAGGGGGTCAAAATTTTGACGTCCGAGTTAAGGGTGCGTTTGTTACGCGAGTGAAAAAAAAAGTCAAAATTTTGAGAGCCGACTTGGGGGGTGCGTTCATTACGCAAGTGCGTTCATTGTGCGAGTAAATACGGTGGCGGAAAACAAACAGCGCAAGGACAAGGACAGAGTAGAAGGCGGTAGAAACACACAGCGCTGACTTACAACTGAGCTTTATTGGCACTGACAACCTGTATAAATACACAATTTGCCCGGCCCAAAAGCCAAGAAAAGAAACACAAGAGGAGGACTACACTAGAGTAACTGTATATTGTGGAGCAGAGTACCGCAATGGTGCCATTCTGGAGCCAAGCACTGCGGGAAGCCACGGTCGGTTTTTGCAGGGGCACGAAGGCGCAGATAAAGTGAACTAGAGGAGGGGTAGTGAGATCAGGCGCCGAGGCGCGCCATGCATTGCTGTGAAACGGCGCGTGTGGAAAGGTCCCGGATGTACGCGGTGGCGCTGCGGACGTAGTGGCTGTAGGATCCGACCGCCTCCGAGCGTTCCGAAGGCCCTGGGTGAGAAGAGTTGGCTTGCATTTTTGGCAGCTCGAAGTGGCCCCTATTCTGAACCGCTTTTTATCCCGTGTTCCGTGTCTGCTGTCGTTTATGGTCATTGAAGTGCCATGCCGAATCGACGTCGACAACGCCACTACTTCGCTCCGGGGTGCCAGAGGGGCTATCAGCTGGTGGAAAGGTGAGCAGCCGTAGCTGTTCTCAGTGCCTTAAGAGGAGGAGCAAGGAAAAGTTTGGGAACGGAACTTGCATCGCCAGGATAAGCTCCTGGACGAAATGTGTTCGGTGTGTGAGCTTCATTTCGACCGATCGTTTATTACGCGAGAGTTCGTTCACATTATAAACGATGAAGAGGTGCGCATTCCGCGTGGAAAGCTGCAGCTCTTGCCGGGCGTTGTACCGACAATGCTTCCGAATGCTCCGAGCTACTGATCAAGAAAGCGTCGCAGCCAAGGCCCACGAGAAAGCGAAAAAACGCCGATGCTTCCTCAGTTGACGGTAAAAACAAGGCCACACACTGCCTCTCCAACTGCCTGCAGCAGCACTGCCAGCACCACACCGGCTGCAGCCGATACCGGGGCGTTTGATGAAGCCTGTATGCCC